GTTCAAATCTCACCAGGCTCAAGGTTGACTCAGCCTTCCATCCTTCCGAGGTGGGTGAAAATGAGGACCCAGACTGTTGTTGGGGGCGATATGCTGACTCTGTAAACCGCTTAAAGAGGGCTAAAAGCCCTATGAAGCGGCATATAAGTCTAACTGCTACTGCTATTTGCTCTCCCGCCCCCGTTCCTTGGCAACTCAGATGGCCCAAAGGACACCTCCACCAAGGACGCCTTGGAGAAGACCTACACCCCGTCCTTGAAGACCTTCCAAGAGGAAATTATGGAGCGGATGGGAATCGTGGAGACACGGCGGCAGAGGAAGTCTTATTGGTACTGAGGCTGCTCCTCCCCCCACCCCCCCAGAAGGGAGAGGCGGCAGGAGTCCAGAGAAGCTCTGCGTTCACACGAAGCGGGTTCACTGGCCATCTTTTATCAAAGGCAAAGACAATAAATATCCCTTAACAGAACAACAAGCGTACTGTCCTTACAGACACTCAACAGAGAGGTGGGCATTTTGGCCCGCTCTCTCCTCCTCCTCCTCCAACAGGTTGGTCCAGGGGCTTCCTCGGCAACGGACCCTCCAGGGGACCGGGAGGCCAAGTCCTTTGGCGGCGGCTGCATCAGACCCTGAGAAGGCCCATCTAGGGCAGGAGCCTCCTCACTCTCCTGCGGCCAGACCCCAGAGGTCGGAGGGCGGCACCTTCTTGGCCGCCACTAGCACCAGGTTCCTGGCGGACAGTGCTGGGTCAAAGAGAGGGACCAGCGCACAGGGGAAACCTGGGGGGAGGCAAGAGAGGGGCAGTGGGCTCGGGGCAGCCTTCTCAAAGGTCCCGGCACGGCTCTCCCCGGGCCCTCTGGGCTCAGAAAAGACAGAACCAGCCCCAGCAGTCCCAGCTTGGGGCTCTGCCCTCTTCCCTCTCCTCCAGAGAGCTGCCCGCGCAGAGAGAGTAAGAGGCCATTTTGAAGCGGGAGAGGAAAACTCCTCTTGAGGCGCCGTGTGGGATGCCGCCTTCCCTCCGGCCGAGACCCCCAGGCGCAGAGCTGACCTTGCTCCTGGAGGTAAATCATCCGGTCAAGGAGAATAAGGGTCTCCACCAAGGGGGCCAGCAGGTGAGCGAGGCTGAAGAAAACCACCACCTGCCGCTGCTGGGCCGGAGAGGCTGGCTCCAGGGGCCCACGGGGGCTCATCCCGACACGCTCCAGGCCCTGGCGAGCATACCTGCCCCGGAAGGAAAGGCTGCACTTGCTGCTCCAACAGAGGATTCGGGGGGCAGGCGGGAGGGGCGGTACCGCTCCCACCGGCTGGGGAAGCCCCCCCCCCCCCCCGCTCCAGTTCCCGGAAAGAGGCCCACTCACTGCTCAAAGGTCATCTGGTGGGCCTTGGGAATGGCCTGCACCCCCAGGCGTTTCTTGGTGGGGTCGATGGCCCGGATGAGGGTCTCCAGCCTGGCCCGGTAGCAGTGGGTCTTCAGCGAGGGGCTGTCGTGCTCCAGCCGCAGGAGGTAGTCCTCCATGGCGTGGCAGGCCCCTTCCCGGGCCTTGTAGGAGAGCTGGTGTCCGGGCAGAGCAGCCACCCAGTCGCTCAGGGGGTAGCCGGGCCGGTCGCCCTTCCCGGTGCTCAGCTTCATGTAGCAGCAGGACACCGAAGTGATGCCCACCATGTGGGGACAGGCCACAAAGAGCCGGAGGAGGGTGGCGCTGAGGTCCCCGCAGGCATGCAGGCCGGTGAGCAGAAGCGGCCCCTGCGGGAGCTGCCCTTGCAGGTGGGTTGGTGGGTTCTGCTCCAGGGACTCAGGCCTATCTCCTCCCCCACAGTCTGCGCCTCCCTTTCCAGCTCCCCTTTCTCCCGGCTCACAAGGCTCGCGGGGCTGGCAGGTGGTGGCTGCCCATGGACTCCCACCTCCTGCAACCTTCCCCGAGCGCAGCAGCTCCACGAACTCTGGCCACCGAGTGTCCGGAGTGACCCAGCCCACCACGTGGCTCGGCCCCTGGACAGGGGGGGCGTCTGGCGCCTGTAAGACAGGAGGGCCACAGTCAGGAGAGTCTGTCTCTGTCACAGCCGGTGCCAGGCCAGAAGTCGCCTCCCTTCCTCACCTGCCGCCTGGCCTGCTCTTTCTCCAGCTCCAGAGCCAGCGCCCGGTCAAACCTGGCAGCCTGAGTGACCAGCCGGGCGTCTCCCTCCACGGCCGTGACTGACAGCCGCAGCCCGAAGGCCAGGAAGCGGGCGAGGTGGCCCTGTGGGGGGAGGAGGAGGAGGAGAGGTGGGTGCCAGGGACACAGGGGGTCCAGAGCCGCTCCCCCCCCCCGAGGCTCACCTGCCCTGCGCCCACGTCCACCACCTGGGGGCATCCGGTCAGCTGGCTCAGCCGCTCCAGCACCTGCCGGGCAGAGGGCGGTCAGGGCCTCCTTCGGACCAGCCCCCCCCCCCACACCTTCCCTCCCTCCCGTCCGTGTCCCGCACCTGCGCCAGCCGCCGGACCTCGTGCTGCTTCTTGGGCCGCAGGTGCCGGCGGAAGCGGGGCGGCAGCGGGGGCTCGGGGGCGGCGGCGGCGGAGGGGCGGCGGGGGAAGCGCAGGGCGTGGGCGGCGGCGCGGAAGGCCAGCAGAGAGA